TAGCTTCGACCTCGACGTAGGTACGGTAGGATTCTCTGCAAATGCGATGAGGGTGCTAAGGGGCAATACTCAGATATATAGAATAGCCTATCTACATATCCATTTTTGAATTAGAAAAATAAAAATAAAAATTGGAATATAATTAAAATCACTTTGAATTGTAATTGAATTATCGATTTAAATTATGGCTAAATCATCCATTTTTGATCAACAATTAAAGATAAAAACCATTTTAATTTTAACATAGGTGGACCCATTACCACTTAAGTCAAAACCAATGATATTACTTTGTGACCTAATCAATTTTACATTGGAGTATCGACTTGTGTATGATGAAAAACAGTTGAACAAGGGTAACCAAAAAACTCATCAAAGATTTAAAAAAAAAACATAAAAAAACAAACCAGAGCCATGTACTCCTCTGTTAATTGACCGTCTTCAATACTAAGAAACTTATGAACAATAAGACAGTGTTTGATTAAATAGAGTGAGACTGAAATAAATGATTATTTTGTCATAATACTCGTTCTCATATTTTGTTTTAAAAAAATTATATTGAAAATGAAATTACCATTAATCAATTTAAGAAAATGGTCATTCAAAGCTCCGTTTGGAAAGTGGATTAGCTTTTTGATTTTTTTGGCTATTTTAGCCTAGGGTTAAAAAGACTGGTTTGGAAAAGACTTTTGACTTTTTTGGGTTTTTTGACTTTTTTGTGAGACAAAGAATGTAATGATTATGGGTTGGATGTGATATTTTATCTTATTGGGTTAAAAAGCTCATTTTGTTTTTTGTGGCTATTTTAGTCAAAAAAGCCCACAAACCAACTTTCCAAACGGATGAGAGGCCAAAAGAGAGAGTCATTTCATTCTTACCTAAAATCATTTCAATGAACCAAACACTACCTAATAATTTGAAAAATATTTTGTTGCTTATTCCCAACGAGCCATTCAAACTTTAGTTAGCTGGAGCACATCATACCAATTGATTTCTCATTATATTTTCTTACCACCAGAAACAATACAAATAATAAAATTCAAATTAATAAATACATAAAAATCACATTTCACATTGGAATCTAGTGGGATAAAGTCTCACCTCACTAACAAATCCCTTGTTGCATTTTTATTTTTTGCAATAATGCCAACCAACCATAAATATGAACCTTTGGAAATAATTAAGAGTTCCTAACAAATTAATTGTAGATAAGTTTACAATTACTATGGCCTTGGGCATCCATTGGTGAGATAACAACAAAAGGAAAAGATTTTCTCCCATCTACTGTGTAGATCAAAGGGTTTTGTTGGAGCTCGACTAACCACGGTATTTATTTTTTACGATTTCAACCATTCATTTTATTAGATTTAAAGCGTAAATAAGTCATTAAAAAATCAAATTGAGTTGATAATCATAACTATATGATTTTATCATATTTGACTTCAAATAAATTAAAATTTTATTTTCAAAATTATAATTGTCGTTTATTGTTAAAAATATAAAAAAACAATTATGATGAAATAATAATAAAAAAAAATTTAGTGTGTTTGGTTTGAGTTCTTTGGATTAAGTTTTTCAAAAATTGAGTTTTTTGGTTTTCGTGTTTTTTTTATAATTATTTTTAGTGAATATTTTTAAAATTTTAAACATATTTTTTAGATGTACCTTACTTAGATGTATCTAAAATATAAAAAATTTGTGAAAAAATATTTTAAAAAATTAATAAATATATAAAAATACAAAAAATGTACTGAATTATCATATTTTTTTTTTATATTTTTGGTATTTAATGAATTTTTAAAAAGTTTTTTTCACAAATTTTTTACTTTTTAGGTATATTTATGTTAGGTATGTCTAAAACGTAAAAAAAAAAAATTGTTTAAAATATTAACAAAATTCAGTAAAAATAAAAGAATACAAAAAATAAGATTGTAAAATTTTTTGAAAAGTATTTTTAAAAAAATAGAATCAAGCGAAGTGACATATTTCCAAGTATGAAGATAAACATTAGATAGTCTAACAAATCCGTAGGTCCATGGTTCAGATTTTTCACCTATAAAATCCTAACTCACTCCATTGAGGCAAAATCCAATACTCCAAAACTTGATCAATTCAAGATGTCAAAATACGAAGAGATGAATGGAGATTTATAGTATGAAGCTAGTCAGACAGATCTTGGTACTCATGCCCTTCTTGTTTGGTGCCACAAAAGTCATCGCTACTATGGAAAACACACGAAAACTAGCATGTATTTCAACTAAAAAAACTTGGATACCAATCTCATTGGATTGTTGGTTAGTTATTAGGGCCCACCTTGATAATTGAAAGTGTTTATTTTTTAAGATTTATTGAGGAGAATATCAATATAAAAAATCAAGATGATCAAATGTGAATTGTTACATATTTGTATTACAAAAAATCAATGGTCTACTCTTTAAATTATATTGGTTAAATTACACCAATCTCCCTTGACTATTGCCCAAATTACATGCTGCCATATGATTTCATGACCTATATGATAATTTCCTTCCCTCATGCGCCTCATAACATTTTATTATTGAAAATTATTTTGAAAAAGGATAAAATTGATATATATCTATATAATAAGGGAAGAAGGTTTTTGAATTTATCCCAGAGACATTTATCATACTAGGACATTTGAACAGCTAAGATAACTTTTAATAACAACATCCAACGCTCAAAAATGTATGAACCAATTTAAGAATTTTAGATTCCCGCCCATAAACATCTTCCCCACGTCCACACTCTCTTTCTCAAAGCCATCTCTCTCTCTCTCTCTCTTCTACGCTTCTCACCCACGTCCAAGCTTCTCTCTTTCTCTCTCCCTCTCTCTCTCAGACTGAAACCCTAGCTCTGCACAACAAGTAACCTACGTTTCTCTCCCACTTATATATTTATCTCTCTCTATATGTTTGTGTATATATACAAGTTTTAGTGATTCTTTAGAAAGAAGGTCGGTTTTTGGCCGTAAAAGGTGGCATAAGCACTCTACCACGGTCCGCTGGTGTAAACTCTGGGGATTCGAGCTTCCATTACCGTCGCGAGAGCCCAGACGAGACTAACAATGCAGAGAAAAACCCTCGCTGAAGCCATTTTCGCACAGAGAGAGAAAGTGTGGGTTTTTGATGATGATACAAATTGTGATTGATCTGTATATATATATCTCTGCAAATGTGTGTATATATGTATGAGGAATTTGGGGATCATAGAGGAGAGAAAGAAGAAGAAAAATGAAAACCATGTGTCTCTAGAAATGTGTATGTCAATTGTGTGATTAATCTGTATCTATATATATATATATATCTCTGCAAATGTGTGTGTATATGTATGAGGAATTTGGGGATCCTAGAGGAGAGAAAGAAGAAGAAAAATAAAAACCATGTGTCTCTGGAAATGTATATGTCAATTGTGATGCAGGGGTCCTAGAGAGAGAGAGAATCTCTCTCTATCTTTTTTTTTTTTTTGTAGAGTTAATTACACTTTTACCAGGTACATCTATCTAGCTATTTATTAAATAAGCAAAAGTGAGTTTTCGTGGAGAGTTAGGTGAATTGATCTAATTAAAAAATAAATTTAAAATTATTTTAATCTTAACATTATTTACACCGTGCCTTCAGGTACGGACATACGCTAGTATATATATATATATATGAGAGATTTATTAGAAAATTATTTTTCAAGGATTTGTATCCCAATTAATCCATAAGATATTCTTATATTCCAATAAGTCCTATTGTTTGAACATTTGATCTACCAAATCCTCATTCTCATATTTAAGGTATTTTATGGACATTTTTACCCTTACAAATATTTTTTGAACAGTTAACAATTTAGTGATGTGAACATTCATATTTTATAATGTGAATATTCACATTGACGTGTGAATGTTCACATTGATAGTGTGAATGTTCACATTGATAGTGTGAACATCCACATTGACAATATGAATATTTATATTGACATGTTAGCATTAACATTAATGGTGTGAACATTTACATTGATGGTGTGAACATTCACATCACGGAACATTCACATTGTAAATGTGAATATTATTGAGGATATTTTGATAATTATGTCACCATATGATTTATTGGAATATAAAAAAATAATGTAATTAGATGAAACATAAGTGAGTGAAAAGAGATTTATGAAAGAATGTCCCTATATATATTTATTTATGAAAGAATGCCCCTATATATATTTGTTTAAAATTTGATGACATGTGTGAGTCCACTTGTCTAATAATTTAATGCGTTTATGCTTGTAGGGGAGGTTGGTGTTATTAGCCCATACTAGTAGTTGGGCTTTCTGTATTTTGGACAATTGTTGGGGGAGGTTAGTGGATGCAAAAAATATCATCAACATGATTATGAAAGATTCTCTATTTTTGGATTATTTATACATAAAGAGAAAAGTTAGGTATTATGAAATTTTTTTCATGAAAGATTTATAATCCTTAGATTACTTGATTAATGTGGTGCTTTATTCTAAGTGTAATCCAAGAGTCACAGAGCTTTCATGATTATTTTCATGAAAGGTTTTTCATGATACCTAACATTATAAAATACCACACACTAATCAATTGATGAAAAATCTTCATGATGGATTTCATGATATATTTTTCATGATCCCTAACATTATTATATGAAAACAATTTAAAAGATGGCTAAAATCAATTTTTTCAAATTTAGTCTATGTAAGATCACCGAACTTGAAAAGTAAAATTTATTAGCGCATTCAAAAAAGAGAAAAGTTAGGAATCATGAAAAACTTTCATGAAAATAATCATGAAAGATTTATGATTCTTGGATTACCTTGATTAGTGTGTGGTGCTTTATTTTAAGTGTAATCCAAGGGTCATAAATCTTTCATGATCATTTGCATAAAAAAATTTTCATGATACCTAACATTACCCTTCAAAAAAAAAAGAAAAAAGAATGCATTAAAATAAAATAAAAATATAACTTTTTTTTTAATTGTTGTACTTCAATAACTCTCATTTATGCCATATTTAAGCGATGGATCTCCATCCAAACTGTACAAAATATTACATCAAACAAATATCTATGTATCTTTTACAAGTGATCAATCTCTATTGAAAATTTTGCATACGTATTTCTATGTCCAAATTGATCAATATAACACTAAAAATGCATAATTAATTGTTTGATAATTTTTGAGATTGTTATATTGTTGTTTTTGAAACCCTACGAACAAGAATTATCCAACAAAGCAATCTATAAAACAAGAAGAAACCAAACATGATTCCAACATTGAGCCATCTTGTGTCCTTTTCAAGTCCCTTATTCTTTAAAACATCACTCCCAGTTAGCAAACATTGAGACTGATCTTGAGGGTTTGATGAGAAACAATACTCTCTCATACTCCAATACTCATTTATGAGCAGTGAATCCAAAGGGTACCTGTTAGTAATTTAGATATATCAACAAAAAAAACACTTAAACGAAAACATGTTACAACCAAAAAAAATCATAATAACAGTAGTGCATATAGAAAGAACATAGGAAGATTGAAGAGAGGGATGGCTATTCGTCTCCCTTAGTGCAAGTTTTAGGTGATGAAGTATGACTCAAGATACAATTTAGAAGCTAATAAAGTGATTAATATATACAGAATCAGTGACAACATATAGAAAATAATGACAACATATATATATATATATATATACTACATGTATAAGTAGGAAAAAACATGTGATGTCTTTCATCTGTTACACTACAACATATAAGTAATTTTAAGATCAAAATTTTTTTATTTTAAAAATAAAAATTTTGTTGCAAAAAATATCTAAAAACCACGTTGGTTGAGTTTTTTTAAACAGCTTGGATTATCGAATTTAGACCCAAAAGTGAAGCCACTGAAAGGTCCAATCCAGATTGAGCCATGACAAACACCTCAGTTGAGTTTTAAAAACAAAAAACAAAAACAAAAACAGATTCTGAACATTCAAGCAAACATGTTTTATTTTTAAAATTTAGAACTTTGAATAAGTTGTAGAGGAGTACCTGTAAAGAGAAACGTAGTACATGAAGATCCAATATCCGGGTATGCTCTCTTTGGGAATAAAATAGCCTGAGAAGAGAAAAAAAGCTCCAAGAACAGTACAGATGAGTGAATTCCCAGAGATAAAATCTGGCGAAACCGCGCTGAGAAACAGTACTAAAGAGCTGGCCATCAACACGATCAACCAAACCACGAAGGCGAAGAAAGCGAAAGCAGAAACAGAAGGATTGAGCCCAACTAACCAATAAACCGGTACAGCAAAAAGAAGTGCTACAGCAAATAAGAAGGGGAGAAACACAATGGTGTTAGCAATCATGTAAGAAGAAACTCTGTAAGCGCCTCGCGACGCTTCTTTCATCAAAACGCATCGCTCTTGAAGGTATATCGGGAGAGCTTCGACTGTGGAAGAAAGAAGGAAACTAAGACTGAATGCGAATAGACCTAACCGCTGTGCGACTCCATTTTCGTCGTTCTTCAACCTGATGTATACACTTCCTAGTCCAAATCCTCCGACAATCGCTTGCATCGTCCTCGCCAAGAACAGTTGTTTCGTTCGGTAAATTATCTTCCAGAATCTCTCACAAAGTACCCAAATTTCAAACAGGATCTGGAAACAAGTAGTCCTATGTTTGTTGGAAGTCTCTTCTTGCCATATGAAGCAGGAGGAATTTGGGTTTTCGTTGTTTTTCCTGTCAGACAGATGTGTTCGTTCCACTTCACGTGAGAAGATTCTATCTCGTCCTGAATTTGAATCTTTCAATTCCATGGAACACTCCAACTCCAGTGCATTAAGATTTGGTTCTATGTCTTTCATGTGAGACAGATGTGTGGATCCTATTCCACGTGAAAATGTTCTGTCTAGTCGTCTTGAATTTGAATTTGAATTTTTCAATTCCAAAGCATTGACTTCTAGTTCTTTTCTGTCAGATAGATGTGTGAGTCCCACTCCACGTGAGAACGTTCTGTCGAGTCTTGATTCTTCTGAATTTGAATCTTCTTCTAATGCAGATATGATTTTCATGGAAAACTCCAAAACGTTGAGCTTTTGTTTTTTGTCTACTCTGTTAGACAGATGTGTTGGTTTGTCTGATTTTGAATCTTCCAATACGGATATAATTTCCATGGAAAACTCAAGAGGGTTGAGTTGGACCGGAATCTTAAAACCCAGATCATTTATCGCGTCCTCAAGCGATTCAAGGCAACCGTCATGTACTACAGAGCCCCCGGACAGAATCAAGAACTTGGAAATGCACTCAAGAATCCTAAAACTCGGTTGGTGAATAGACAAAACTATCGTCCTTCGCTTCAATTTTGCCATTGATGAAAGCAACTCGATGACTTGCAAAGCTGACGAGCTATCGAGGCCAGAGGTGGGCTCATCGAGGAGCAGAATGGGAGGATCATTGATCATCTCAACTCCAATGGATACCCTTTTTCGCTCTCCACCCGATATGCCTCTCTTGTCATGGTCTCCAACGAAGCTATCAGCGACATGAAAGAGGCCGAGCTCATGCATCAGAGCTTCAACCCTGTCTTCTCTCTGTTTTGGAGTCATTGATTTGAGTCTAAACTTGGCACTGAACATCAATGTCTCGTATACTGTTAGGAGAGGAAGGAGATTGTCGTCTTGAGCAACGAACCCACATGTTTTTCTCATTTGGGTTGGACTTGTTATTGTGTGATTGTTCAGTGACACACTCTTTGGATCAAAATCTTTTTCTCTTACCTGTCAAAAATATAAATGAATATGATGCTGAGAAGTCAGCAGAACACATAAAAAGTCCACAAAAAAAAAAAAAAAAAAAAAAAAAAAAAAAAAAAAAATTGTTGGGATGCAAACCACCATGTGCACATTGAGATGAGCGGAAAAAAAAAAAAAAAAAAAAACCCCCAACCAAACAACTCAAATCTCCTATAGAACTAACAAAAGAATATTAGGAATTCATCAACCTCCAAAACCAAAATGTATATATATACACAAATAAATATAAGTAATATGCAATTATTCTTTCCACTAAGTTTAACAAGTAATACTCAAAGGGCACCGTCATCGAAGCCTGTCCATATATGTTGCTCACAGAACCCATATGCCAATATCCCATCATATCAAGAGCTTAGGCATGATCCAACAAATTCCAAAAATATAAAATAACAAGCACAGTGAACACAAGCCACCTCAAATGCTTATTCAAAGTAAAATTGCAGAAGAAATGCCTTTCACTCCCTTCCATAACAATATATATTGGAGCTTCAGAAGATAATTTTTCCAGAAGAAAATCACGTCCAAGAAATTTCTGTTGATAATAGTAAGATATGGCAAATATGATCAAGACTTGCAGGAATCAGAAATCTCAAGAGATGGTTGCTACATACATACTAATTATGTAACTTGGGTTTTTTGTTTGTTTAAATCAGATCTATGAACATATGAGACACCAGAACAAAAGGTGACCATGGAATGTGCCCAGCCCATGAAACCAGACCTTCACTTTGGTCTTGGTCCTCTTCAGGACTGACAAAGCATTGGCTCAGAACCATCGATGCAAAGCTGCAATTTATATTTGAATTAATAAACATGGATGCAACAGTGGGATGGCAATGGGCCGGGGTTTTTCTGGTTTCACACGCGATTTCTTGATTTTAAACTCAACTATTTTGGTGATACAATTCCATATTTTACTAAAATCCTGACAGTTTTGACCTTCTTACCCCTATCATTTACCCTACCCCATCAATGTTCTCCCAAACCTTTTTTAATTAAAATCGGGTTGGGTAATTTTGCCATCTAGTGGCATGGTCTATGACCTATTGAGCATCCTCTAAGAATCCAAAAATATGAATGTGGTTGTAGATAAAGAAGTAGCTGTTCTTTGTCCTTTAAATGAAAGCATGAAATTTTCTTCAAGCCAATTCCGTTAAATCGTACCTACTTGTTGAATATTTAAATTTTTACGATTTAGATTTTTTCAATATTTATTTTAATTTTTTACTTATTAACTTTTTTAGATTATTTAAATTATTTAAATATTTATGATTTAAATTTTTTGAATATTTATTTTGAAAAAAAATTATTTCCTTTGTAGTATTTTCAATTAAAAAATTGATTAATGTTATTTTCTGTTAATAATAAATTTTTTTAATTGAATTTTAAAAAGAGTTTGGTTACGAGTGTTGATAAGAATTTTCAATAGTGTGAAAGTAGTGTGTTTTGTAATGAGTTATAACAATTTGAATTAAGTTTTGAAAATTCTTTCTAAAACTCATAACCAAACAAATTTTCTTACTCATATGTCAAATCAAACTTTCAAAACTCAATTCCACATACAATTCAAAACTCTATTAAAAAACCATAACTAAACAAATTTTCTACGCTCAAATCATAATTCCACAACTCACAAACTTAAAATACAACTCATACTCTCAAATCATATTTACAAAACTCTACCAAACGCAATCTAATATTTTTATTTTTTTTAATTTATAATTTTTTTACTTATATTTTTATTTAAATATATTTATAACATCATAGTTCAATTCCAGTTCAACCCGACAGTTGAACCAATAACCCGTTCACCGAATCCCTTTTCCGAATCAATCGCCTGTCCGGTTTCTAAAACCTTGTTTAAACACATTGCCCAACCCTAACAAAATCTCAAAATTATGTGTCAAAAATCCTAATGTTTCAGTGGCCAAATAAGACTCAAAGAAATCCAAAGAGAATTCATGGAATTTGGAAAACCACAAAGAAAACGCAATTGAGAAGGAAAAGGAAATCAACTGATACAAAAATAACTGCCAAACTAGTTGCAACAGAATTCGCCTCCTACAAGATTATGGTGTTCATGATAAATCTGGATTCGCAGACCGACCCATTTGCATAGATACAATAAATGGAATAATATACATCACTATGCTAAATTAAAAAAGAACTGTGATTTTGTGAATACAATTCATAATCAGATACGTAAATCTCGAGGAACACAACAACTGGGCAGTGATTCAGCCCATCATTCCAAGATTCCTACTACCGAACCATGTCTTCATTGCTCGAACTTAAAAGCAAGGAAATACTGTACAATGGATTGAATCCAAGGAAATATACTCAACTACTTCCGACCCAACCTCACCAAATGCTGCTCGTGTTTTGCAGCAGCCGCCTTATCAGCAGCTTCACGCTTCAGTGCCCTCTTGGCCCTTCGTCCCACCAATGCATCTTTCACAGCAACTTCTTTCTTCTTAGGCTCACGGGATGGACCAGCACTTGAGTTATGTGGGTTCGGTCGATGAACTGGCCTTGCTTCTTGTCTTCCTCCCCTAACATATCCATTATCTCCCCATCTCCGGTTACCAATCCGAAGACTTGATGAACGGTTGAAATAAGCTTCATCCAAATCCTCCTCATCGTCATCCTCATATGGATAATAAGCTTCTCCTTCATCTTCTAGTTCTTCCCGTTCTTCAACAATTAAGGGCTTAAACCATGAGGCTCTAAGGAGCAAGCACACGCTCTCCTCGTACATATAATCATGGATGCTGTTAAAGTAGAGTAAGAACGTTTCATTAAGGAGTTTTACTCAACACACGGTGAAGAAACAGCCAATTTTAAAGATCATAAATTTAATCGTAAGTTTTTTCATGGCATACGCAATCCAAACTCACAGCTTATGCTTCAATTATGCCTCACAAAACAAAAGTTACAACTTCAAAAAATAGTTACCCATAATAAAGTACCACGCTAGTTTTTCTCCCTGAATTATACATATTCCAGTGAGATGCGGGATGATACATATCACAACTGGCAGTTACACTCATAAGATCATTTTTCACAAGTTAACATGAAAACAGAGAGCACCAGGTGCTGTCTCCAAAAAAAGAGAAGAAAAATTAAAACTAGGCAAGAGAAAATTGCTTCCATACCTTCCATCAAGTGAGCGGTGGACATTGAGGAACTCAAATGGAAGTTTACACTGAGGGCATGTCGGTTTCTCTCTGTATGTGGCCCATCGTAGGATGCATGTCACACTATACAAAACGAAGGGAAAAAAGGTTAGAAGTTAGTATACATGTCATTTCAAGTATTAACATATCATTACATTGGAAGCTTTCAAACTATGCTGAATTTATATTGCAAGGCATAAAGTTAAAAAAAAAATTAATTCATTCACTTCGCAAACATCATTCACTTATAGATAGAAAACAATCATAAAAATTATAACCTGAGTGGCACTTCAAGCTTGCAGCTTAAAAAATCTCACCCAACATCCATGTGCCGAAGTTTAAACAGAAGAAACATAAAACCTCGAGGCTAAGGCCCCGTTTGGGGACTTACTTTTTTAGCCAATTAGCCAAAAAATTACTAAATTAGCTAAAAAGCCAACAACTCATACCAAAAAGTCAAAGATTCTCTTCTGTCTCTACTTTTTGCACATCTTTTCGTAATTAGCCAAAAAGTCATCCAAAACATACAAGTTTTTTTTACCTACCTTTTAAGCCAAATAGCCAAAAAGTTACTAAATTAGCCTGTTCCCAAACGAGGCCTAAAACTACATCATGAGAGAGAGAGAGAGAGAGAGAGAGAGAGAGAGAGCCATTCCATTTTGGTCCAAATCATTAATTTGTATCAATTGTATCCTTGAACTTCACACATTAATTCAACGTAGTCCCTACGCTAACTATCATTTAAAAACCTTATGAAAAATGATTACGTCATCATGTATTTGAAGGGCGTGGTGAAAATTTTATTTCATTTCTTGCCTAAGTGAGCCTCAACATGTGAAATGCACATCCAAGCCTTTCAATCCATTACCGAGAGTCAAATACATAGCATTGGGTTCAATGATTGATAGTATTATGCATAAATAAACATGTAAAAATGTCTTTAATGCCTTTCAATATCTTATATGTGAGATTGACGCAAGCATTTTTCATACGTTTTTTAGATAGTACTAGTAGTTAGGAAGGACTACATTGAATTAATGTATGAAGTCCGGGATGCAATTGATACAAACTAAAGATTACGGACAAAAATGAAATAGGAGCTATTCTTCTAGAGACTTTTGTGTAATTTAACATTCTAAGAAATGGTCAAATTCTCTTTGAAGCCCTACCAGGACTATCAAACCTTCTCCTTCGAACCCCATTGTTAGGGAGAAGTTGATGCATAGTTTCATTTTGAAAACAAGTTTGAGTAACATTCCAAATTGAAGATCTTACAAGAATAAGAAGGTGGCCAAAAACAATGTGAATCAAGGCAGACAGCAACCAGATATGGCACATGATTTAACTAAAACTATTATCGCAACGTAACAAAATAGGAAATACATATATCTATATATATGTAAAGGATTCATGCAATCAAGTGCAAGAAATAGAGAGGTGAATTTCCAGAGTTGAATCAAGAAACTAGATTGCTTTTCATGTTCATTAATGAAAAAGGCACTCTAAAAACAACAAGATATCAATACGTGTGTTTGAGTGTAAATACAAAACCTAAAAGACTATAGAGATTAACCAAAGTTGAGATGCGAATATTCAAATCAAAGCAATTTTTAGGTAAAATATAGGTGACAGTAATATAAAACCCATCAAATACCAAAATAAAAGACATAAGGCATGTTTAAAAAAACCATGGCCAATTAGGGAGGCAGGAAAAATCAAATATCATCTTGTCCTACATTAAATAGATCAGTTACATGTCACTAGTTTGAGAAACACATGTGATATCCAAAAGATAATGCAATAAATTAAAATCATTACAATTTTGCTAGCATATTTCTTCTTTCCCACTTTATATACCCACATCAGTTGCACCCATCACAAGAAAGTGAAATAAACCACAAAATTCATTTTGTCAGATTGACTGTAAAATTAGTGTCTTATAATAGATAAGATTCTAATAAACTTTTTCCCAAAAATTCCTTTCCCAACTGCTCTCTAATGAGTAGAATTGTAACTGCATATCCAAGTTTTGCTAAAAAAAGTCACCCATTAATGCATTAGTTGCCACCGAGTTCTTTACTTCAATATTACCAATAGCTAGATTGTTAAATCAGTACCAAACCTCCATATGTTTTCAACCAAACCACTTCAGCTTTCATCATCATTATAATATACTATCTCGAACAGGATTTGACATTTCAAATAAATCTCCAATAGGGGTCAGAAACATATCTTCCTCGCACTCAATTAATCATGTTCTTTACCCATCCAGATCAAATATAATCATTGGAGAGCACTACAGAAAGAACAACAATCTTTTCTTTCAATTACATTTTGTAGTAGAAATGTTCTATTTATTATATACAATTCACAACAACCAATACAGTAATCTGAGAATGAAAAACACATAAAAGTAGCTGCATAAACAAAGTATCACCAATATATATATATATATATATATTCAATTGAGAATGAATGGTAAATAAATTGACACGTGATTCAGACAAACCAGTAGGCGTGCTCGCAACCTTTCAAAAGAGCAGTTTCTTGAAGCACTATCTTATTCAAACAGATGGCACAAATTCCATGATGATTCTCACAACTCACTTGTTGACCCTCCCCCCCTGTACTCTGCATTACCCTCTGAAAATCACAATCACAACATACATAAACAGATCTCATCAACAAACAACGATAACCTTTAGGCTCCGTTTGATTGCTGAGAAAATGGATAAATTAAAGCAAGGGGAAAGAAAAGCTTCAAAACCCTAATCTTTCCGCCCCCAAAATTCCACTAAACTGAACCTAACCCAAGTATTCGACCCAATTCTAGTTTATTAAAGAAAACTAGAAAAGAACATAAGAGATTCAAAGTTCATTTTCTCCCTTAACTTTTCTCGGGAACCAAACAAGATCTACGAGAAGGCAAACCTGCTCTTGGACCGACAGATTGTCCAGGTCGTTGGTAAGCTGTTGACCCTCAATCTCGACCACGACTGCACTCATGTTGATTGATATATATATATATAGCTCAAACGATAAAACAAAGAATCAGAGAGAAAGAGCAAAGGCTCTACAACTGAGAGATTTTGAGAGAGAGAGAGAGAGAGAGAGGTTGATACAGAGAGAGAGGTTTGGAGAGAGAATCTATCGAATAATGCTTTGGTTTCTCTCTCTCAGAGACAGAGAGAGAGAGAGAGAGAGAGAGAAAAGCCCTAACAAGAGGTTGGGGCAATTAGGTCAAAAAGTAAAAAAATAAAATAAAATAATAAAATAATTTTTTGATTTTTTTTTTAAGAATATTTATTAATAAATCTCATCTCATAGATAAATATTTTGATTAGTCCTAATTTTTTTCTATTGATCTGTTAAGTCTTATTAGTGGAGAGTTTCTTTCCGTGTGATCTTATTTTCAATTTTGATAGTATTTTGGCAGATAGTTATATCCTTTTATTAATATGACAAGTATGATGTGATATTCCAATGTGACAGATATTAATATCACTAACGATGTGACACTCCAAAAAAATTAAAAATTCTTTAATATACTTTTTTAAATGTGACAACGTGATGAATATGATGTGACATTCCAAAACTTTTTATTCTCAAAAAAATAACTCCTCCTTAGTATACTTTTTCAAATGTGACAGTGGCAGGTATGATATGACCCTTCAAAAAATAAAAACTCCTTAGTATATTTTTCTCAAATGTGACAACGTGGTAGGTATAATGTGACACTTTAAAAAAATAAAAACTCTTTAGCGTACTTTTCTCAAACGTGATAGCGTGACAGATATGATGTGACATTTCAAAAAAATAAAAGCTCCTTAATATACTTTTTCCAAACGTAACAACGTTGATAGGTATGATGTGACACTTTAAAAAAAATAAAAACTCCTTAGTGTACTTTTTCCAAACGTGACATATGACACTCTAACGTGACGGGTATGATGTGACACTCTAAAAAAATTAAAAAATTTATACTTTTTTTAAATGTAACACTCTAATATGGTGAGCATAATGTGACACTAAAAAACTCTTTAGTGTACTTTTTTTAAATGTGACACTCCAATGCAGGGGTAAATGAGTGATTACACATCCAAAAAGACTAAATGGATCACAAAAAAAAATATGAAACTATATGGATTACAAGTCCAAAATATAGAACTTATTGGTCAATCCTTTTTTTTTTTTTAAGAGTGCTGCTATTAGTATCCCATAAATTATTTTGGACCCCTTAATTTTTAGCTTTTTTATTACAATAATAATCTCAAATAAAATTACTACAAAGAACATCATTAATTTTGAGACACTCTATCTTACAATTAAACTTACACACCCACCACAACATGAATTAAGGTTTATGAGAGCATCCACCGCTATCACCACCCATCCATCTTCCCCAAATCCCACTTTCAAAACTTACCCATCCTCAAAAATTTAAAAACCCTTTGGCGACAATATTTTGATAGTAACGGTGGCAATCATTGGATTACTTACACTTCTCCGACAATGACAATGAGTGAAAATTTTTCTGGCAACTACAACTCCATAAGACGAGATGAGTACAACAATAAAAACTTAAAGGAGGTTCATAATTTTGATGTTGTTCTTAACTTAGAGGAGATTGACTTTATAAGGATAAGTTTCTTCAAAAAAATGGCAAAAATAATAAAATTTGTTCGTCATTTTTTCGAGACTGAACTCCCAAACATATGACCGAAATTCGGGAATACATGCCTGAACATTGTTTATTTGTTCGGAAACAGGTAACCAAACATTATTTATAGGTTCAGACCTGTTTTATTGATCACATTTTGAAATTTAATTTATATTGTTATTTATTTCAAGATGATGGCGAGTTAACAGTCAACATTCTTAACACTCGTAGAAATTTTATTTTTACAAGTTCAGAAATACAGACCCGAACATTATTTTGTTTGTTCGGGAACACATTCTCGAACATAACTTATTTATTCGAGAATACAGATCCGAACATGAAGGAAACTCGTCATTTTTTGGGTACACTACAACTTTGTTTCGTTTCTAGCTCTCTTTCAATTCTCACCTCACACACACCCACCCACATCGCCACAATCCCAAGACAGTGATAGAGAGAAGAAATGGAGGATATAACAAGTTAGCATATTAGATGGCCCAAACGAGATTAAAAACAAAAAATAAAGATGTCTCTCTCTCTCTCTCTCTTTCTCTGTAGTAGTTAGTCAAAAGGCTATTCTATGTTGTAACTTATATAAACATAGACAGTATTCTTCTTCTTCTTCTTCTTCTTCTTCTTCTTCTTCGTATATTTTGAAAAGGATGAGACTTTTCTTTTTCTTAGTAGGTTTTGTTAGGATTTTTTGGAAGGGAAGTTTTTTTGAGGGGTGTACATTTAATAGGTGGAATGTTTAAGGGCAATTTTAGTATTATTTGGGAGGTTAAAAGAAATTTTAAGGGTTTCAAAATTTATAAGTGGAGGTCCAAAGAAAAATAAGGGGTCCAAAATAATTCATGAGGTGCTAATAATACCACTCTTTTTTAACTCACATTACCTCTTTATTTTTTGAGTTAATTACAAATTTTTTTTTAAAGATTTTGGGTATTTTTCAATTTAAATCCCAAAACTTCAATTTCGATAAATTAAACTCTAGAGTTTCATCTATATTTCAATGTGAACCCTTCGTCTATCTCCGTTTCAGCTCATCTTCTTCCTCCTTTCATATTCAAACTCTTGTATTTCTCTCGTCGTAACTCTGTTTTGCCTCATTTTCGCATCGTTGGATTCATCTCATAACCTAGTTTTCATTCCATCCCTCACATGCCTTATTCCATCTCGTTTTGCATGATGTTGGAGCTCCAAAATTTGGCCAAAATTATTTATTTATTTTCAGATTCAAACCCACATGTTCAAGTCTTTGTATCTTCCTCATCGTAACTCCGTTTTGTCTCATTTTTGTGTTGTTGAATTCACCTTATGGCCTAATTTTCATTTCACCTTTCATACACCTTATTCCATTTCTTTTTTCATGCCGTCGTAACTCAAAAAGTTGGCCGAAAATAAGATTTTTCTCTTCTTTTTCTCTTCTTTTTTTTTTAAAAAAGATTCAAACCCACATGTTCAAGTCCTTATATCTCCCTCATCGTAACTCCGTTTCATGTCATTTTTACGTCATTGGATTCATCTCATGGCCTAGTTTTCATTCCACCCCTCATACGCCTTGTTCTATCTCTTTTTACATGCTGTTGGAGCTTCAAAAGTTGATTAAAAATAAAAAATTTATCTTTTTTTTTTCCTTGCTACTATCACGACAATATTGTTACCAGTGGAGAAGCAATGGATGCTAGTTGATTGGAAATCAATGCAACCTAACATGCTCACCAACCCATTTTTTGGTTTCTGATTTTTGTGGATAGTTGTATACGTATCACCACTCAACGGCTATGTTGGAGTCGGTGGCCACCACAAGCTCGGTAGAAGGGCCATGAAGAAAGAGGAAAAGAAAGAGAATAATTGTGGAAAGGAAGTAAGAAGTATGGAGATAAAAGATAAGAATATATATATATATATATACATAAGAGAAAAATTATTTTTTTGCCAACTATCGGAGCTCTGACGGCGTACAAAAAGAGGTGGAATAAGGCGTATGAGGGGTGAAATGAAATTAGGCCATGAGGTGAATCCAATGACACAAAAGTTAGGCAAAACCGAGTTATGACGAGAGAGATATAAAGGTTTGAATATGAGGGTTTGAATCTAAAAGAATGAAGAAGATGAAGTGAGACGGAGATGGATGGAGGGTTCACATTGAAACACGAATGAAACTGCAAGATTTAATTTATTGAAATTGAAACTTTGGGATTTAAATTGAAAAACACACAAAATTTTGAATTTTTTTTGCAATTAATCCAATTTTTTAATATATTTTTTCAAAAAAAATTAAATAGGGTCAAAAAGTTGACTTTTAAGCAAACCTAATTATCATAGATTTAGGGTTTGTTGACTTTTTATGTAAAAGTTTTAAGTTTTAGTCTTGTTGGAAACTAGGCCTAGTTTGGGGAGACTAAATAAGTGCACTTTTTGACTTTTTTTGTATTATGTATAGAAAAAGTAGAGAGGAGATGTTGATTGATGTGACCTAAAAAACATAAAAAGATGAAATAAGTGCACTTTTTTGGCAGTAGCCAAACTTGGCCTTAATGTTGTAAAATATTTGAGTGAGATTTTACAAAATTAAAATAAAAATATTGTAAAATTAATAATACAATTTAATAAATTAAAAACATGATTCATTTCCATTAGAGAAATCAATGAGGTGGGAGAGCGAGGCAATAAAGATCAAAGAGTTGTAAAATATTTGAGTGAGATTTTACAAAATTAAAATAAAAATATTGTAAAAATTAATAATACAATTTAATAAATTAAAAACATGATTCATTTCCATTAGAGAAATCAATGAGGTGAGAGATCGAGGCAATAAAAATCAAAGAGGTGACATTTGGGATTGGTATTTGAGAGGGTAATTTGTATAGCCAAATTGGGCCGAGCTAGGTTGGAGTGGCGGTCAAAGATGTTTTTAGGACCTAGCTACAAGACCTAGCTATGGAACCTAGCTATAGGACCTAGCTATGGGACCTAGCTATGGGACCAAGTTGTTGGACCTAGCTACCTAGCTACAGGACCTAGCTACAAGACCGTGCTACAAGACCTAGCTACGGGACCAAGTTATTAGACCTAGCTACGCGGCCTAGCTATGAGACCTAGCCACGGGACCTAGCTACGGGACTTAGCTACTTCCTAGTGGCGGTCAACACTATGGCCGAGCTACCAAGCAAGGTAGTCAAACGGAGAGAAGAGCCGAAGTAACTTGGTTGACCGCAATGTTAGCCGAGGTAAAGATATCAGCCGAGGTAAAGGTGTCAGCCGCGGTAAAAAGAGCTTAGCAAGTGGATCACAAGTGTTAGCTCGGTCCAGAGGAGCCTTGCAGTTAGTCCGATCCGAAAGAGCTTGGTGGTTAGCTCGGTCATACCATATTGAGCCAAAGTATGTTGAGCCTTCCTCAAAACCATGTTATGGGTTAGTTTGGTCCTAGCTCAGTATGGTTAGCATGATCTCAACAG